GAGCTGATGACCGTGACCGCAGTTCCAGTCACCTGACTGACAGACTTGCAAGCCTCAATATGTAATAAGTGATGATTTCTTTAGATAGGCTAATACTTGCTTCATGATAAATAATCTCAATTATGTAAAGGTTTCACAACCGTACACTGAGATTCCACTGACTGACATTCTTAGTTTGTATCTGGTCTACAGAGAAATAAAGCTTTTTGAAATTGACTTTATCCTCAAATGTACTCCACAGGGAAAGAGAAAGTCGCCATCTAGTGTTTTTTTTAGAAAGACAATAGTAACTAAGGAATGGGATATAATGGCATGTTTATTGAATATTTAGCAGTTTGCAGCCTGTCAGTTTTAATACATATATTATAATTTAAAATTATATATAAGTAGAATTGACAAGGCCTGGCAAATATACAGTGGGTACGGAAAGTATTCAGATTTAATGATGGCTGAATGATTTTTCAACATCATTAATCTGGTCTTCAGTGTCACATGATCCTGCTGATTTGCTGCTTGAGAAACATTTATTATTATTATCAATTCTTTTAGCAATTCAAGATTCTGTAATGAATAGAAAGAACAGCGCTGATTTCAAATATAATTTTTTGTAACATTATAAATGTCTTTACTTTTAATCCTTTCTGAATACAAGTTTTTTATTTCTTTAAAAAAAAGAAAACTCTAAAACTATATATATAGTTTTAGAGTTTTCTTTTTTTTAAAGAAATAAAAAACTTGTATTCAGAAAGGATTAAAAGTAAAGACATTTATAATGTTACAAAAAATTATATTTGAAATCAGCGCTGTTCTTTCTATTCATTACAGAATCTTGAATTGCTAAAAGAATTGATAATAATAATAAATGTTTCTCAAGCAGCAAATCAGCAGGATCATGTGACACTGAAGACCAGATTAATGATGTTGAAAAATCATTCAGCCATCATTAAAATAAATTAAATTTTTAAATTGTAATAATGTTTCACAATATTACTGTTTTTACTGTATTTTTGATCAAAGAAATGCAGCCTTCTTTCAAAATCATGAAAAATCTTCCCAACCCCAAACATTTGAATGGTAGTGTATTTGGGATAAATAAATTAATAATAAATAAATAAAGTTCACACATTTAAACATTGTCAGAAACATTAAAGCATTATTTTCAAAACAGAGGAATATCACACAATATTGATAATTAAATAAATAAATAAAATATAAATAAAAATTAAATGAGCATTATACTTACTATTCAGAGATAGATCTATCAAACAAAATAAATATACTAAATAATATTAAAATAAGTTCAATATACTTACAGTATCATTATTATATCAGTAATGAGTGAAGGGGACAAAATGGCACGGTTTCCTAAAAATGCTTTTCTACAGCTTACATTAAATCTATTTAGTGGTTAAATATTATGAAGCATTTTAATTATTTATAACCGTAAAAGTCTTTTTAAATCTTCAATAGTAGCAATACAGTCCATATTTGAATGCATAATGAAGTGGAAGACACAACAACATCGTTGACAAACCATAAAACGTCCCCAACTCTGCATGAATCAACTTTGACATAGCTGGCCCGAGTCTGACAGCCCACCCTGTCACTGCTACTTTCCTCCTCCAGCAAGTCCTTCAGCGTACAAAACAGCTTTTGTGACGGGACAAAGCCAGCAATGTACTTCATTGTGTCAAGCTTGTTTCCCATCTCTCTTCATTGGTGGCAGACTGGGAGCGACGGATTGCAGATGGGATATTGAAATTCACTTCACGTTTCCCCCTACTCTGGCTATCGCAAATGTGCTGAAGTGCAGCTCAGCGTGACACACAGAGAAGAGTCTTTTCTTTCACTGTTTGCTTATTTATCTAACATCAGAACTCTGCTGGGGGGAGAGAAGGGTCGCTGGGGCTTTCTGAACACACTGGAGACAGTTCATCGAGGATCATGAAGCTCATTATTCAGACACATCTGAACTTCCAGTCACAGTGCACACAAGCAGTGCCTCACTATATATATGCAAATAGTATGTTTTGGAAATATTATTTGTTTTTAAAGGGTTAATAGTGTTAGACGTAAACACTTGTCTGCTCTTTCACACTAAACTTTTCATCTAGACTCTCATGGTTCCAGAGCAAGTGCTGTCTTGTTGTTTATCAAAACAAGTCAAATGTTTTGATAAACTTTCTAATAATAATAATAAATAAATAAATAACTTTTAAAAGTTTACAAAGCAGATTAACTCCTATTTTTTTCCACAGAAAAATGTCAAGATTTTTAAGTAGAAAAATATAGAAAATTATTAAAAAAAAAATCAAATTATAAGAAAAAAAAAGCAATTAATGTCTTGAGTTCTGACCAGTCTTTAGAAAGGAGAATGAAATAATTACATTTGGTGAATGCAAACGTAAAAAAATAATTATGATAAACGTATTTTATTAATATCTTTAGTGCACACTTTAACTCTGACAGCCCTAAAAATACATATTATAGAATAAATAAATAAATACACTTTTTCACGGACCCCTTACCATCCCCTTATTGCCTCCCAGGGGGTCCCAAGTTTGAACACCCCTGTGCTGGGCAACTTTATTCACATTGACAAAATGAATATACATTTAAGCATATTCTTTCTAACATTATTTGATTTGTCAATATGATCAACTGTTTTCCACTTAAATGTTGCTTATTATTGTCCTCAACTTGCCAAGAGAATTGCTTTCACGTCTAGATATCACGAAGAGTTTTTGAAATGCAGTCTATTTACTTATCGCCAGGGGGCGGCACAACAAACTGTAAAACACCTGCTGCTGATGACAAATCTGACTGAAAATATTCAACTGTTAACATCCTCAAACAAACAAACAAACAAACAAAACAAACAAACAAACAAAGGTAGATTGGAAGTGCATAAGGCAAAATAATCAATAAAATGTTCTTGGAAATCAAACTCCTGAACCGTCTCTAGTAGAGACGCACATCAAAATAATGTTTCTTTTTATTCACGAGTGAAATCAGAAGGGCGTGGCTTAGACGGCACGGAGGTTGTCTGTGATTGGTCAACATAATTTTTACATTTTAACTATTTACTGGGTATTTTAAATTCACTGTATAGCAACTGTTCTTAGTGTCATTACTAATATTAATGTATTATTCAAACCGCTGCTGACGCAGTCCTTGTCACATGATACCTGATTATTTTCTCATCGCTGATCAAGATGGACCAATCACAGTCCTTTGTGATTACAGAATGACGCGTTTTGGGTGATAATTTTATAGAGACTACTGAAGCGGATTTCTGTTCGATCGTCAGGTTCTATTCCTTATAAATAATAAAAACAAACGATTATGCTTTTCAGTGTACACACGTCTGTAGTAACGAAAAAAACGACCTAAGATTTCAATGCGTCTCAATGGTGGATTCGGATTTCTGGGCCACCGCTTGGAAGAAGCAAAAAAACTGATATAGGAAAGTTTTTTTGATCATCAGCATTTGCCTCCCACTGGTTAAAGATCACGGTTAATATGTTTCCTCAAAGAGTATCATGAAACGTGGATTTCATCCGATGTTTCCAGTTTATTTGCATCCTCATGCGTCCTAAAGGCAAAATACGGCGGTAGAGGTGTTTAGTTTTGAGGTAAGTGGTTTATTTCTAGGAGAAATATAGAGGCGTGTGAATGCTTGACAGCTTTTGTTTAGTTATACTTTCTGGAAATACCCGGCATGTGTTATTATGGACGTGCTTTTAACAGGGCAAACATCAAAACAGGTTTAATGTTTAGAAATGTTTACTGTTAGGCGGCTTATCAGTTATAAAGAAATTAAATTTGACTGTCGATTCATCTTGTTAAAAAGTCAACAGGTGTAGGCGACATACCGTACTATTTAGCCTAATGACAGTATTTATACAAAATATATTCTGAAAACTGAGTATGCTGAGTTTTTTTTTTACTTTGTGTTTTATTCTTATTTATATCTTTAGGACCTAAAATTGTGATATTTTCAAATCCACAACAAAAGCCTTCAATGCAATACAAAAAAATAATAATGCGGTTTAAAAACACAGTAATAATATCTAAGCTGCACATTAAAGTTATTTATTTATTTATTAATTAAATGACTAGCCACTGTATTCATAATTTAAGTTTTGTAAAAAGTTTAATCAGGTATTTTTTTGTCTGTTTAATTCTTATTTTCATCTTTAGTCTGAAAAATAATGCAGTTTAACCCAGGTATATCTGAAACCTAGGCTTTTTCCTTTTAGAGGGAAGTTTGTTTGTTTGCTTATTTATTTAATTGTCTCATGTATTGTGATAGCATATGAGAATGAATTGCTTTAATTGAAGCTTAAAATTTTTAATTCAAGTCAAATCACTAATGCAAAAACGTTCCCTTGAAGCTTATGGTAGTTTCTCAATCTCTGGTGGAATGACCAGTTGATCATTTGTATTGCTTAGTTATGTTTGTTGTTTTTAGTGTTTCTTGGCAGGGTTTCCTCCTCCAGTTTTTACAATGTGACATCAGTAAGGCAATAGGCTACAGGTAAATGTTGACCCATAAATAGGGTAACCATTCCCTGAGGGAGTAAAGCAGCAGGAGCGAACAGCAATAACTGCAGGTTTTGAGAGCATCAGGTAGGAGAACATTAAAGGGGTCATATGATGCGATTTCAATTTTTCCTTTGAAAACGACGTGTTTGAGAGAGGCGGGGCATAGAGGACCTACAATAATGTACAGTAATTGAAAAATAATGTGTTTTTTGAACATTAAAGCATGTCAACATATTCTGTTACACCAAATACACAAAATAATGATCTTTAAAATGGCATCATATGACCCCTTTAACCAGACAGGCATCAGACGGCACAGTAAGCAGCAGTGGCCTCTGTTACTCAAGTGCTCTTGGAAACAGACACCTGAGCCACAGCCTCCCCATCCTCCCCCACCCATGACATCACACGGCTTTTATCTGCTGCCAAACACAAAGCTGCATTTAGCTCGCAGTAATCAGCGCTGTGACCTAACCTGCCATGCACTGGAGATGCGTGAAGATTTAGGTGTGCTTTTTTGTAAGTTTGATTCACGTAATATGCTGAAATAATGGATCTATGAGCTCTGCTGTACTCAGCTTGGAGTTCTCAAGATCTGAGGTAAGATGTCATACAAGGAGTTTGTTAAAATGTGAGGAGAAATGCATATGAAATATATGTAATAAAAACCTGTGGCATGAGTTCTGAGCCAGGTATAGAGCAAATTGAGCAGTGTGATCGGCAGCAGACAACGAATTTAGAATTTCTTTAAATTTCTTTTTTTCAGTAGTTTAAATGTTTTCTAATGTTACGCAGACCTGCCAACTTGTATGCGTTTTGCGTAGCGAGTACGCATTTTAACCTCAAAGTATGCTGGCACGATTTGTCGCTCTAAAATATGCAAAAACCTGGTGACGCCTGTGCACGCATAGTACTCAAATCAAGCAACAGCAAAAGAAGAAGAGTTCGACCAATCAGAACGCTGGGTTCATTCCCTAAATAGCAAGTAGGCATGATTGACAAATGCGTAAGGCCTTATATTAAAAAGAGGCCGCAGATCGATAGTAACACAAAATCCCGCTCGATCCCCCCTCTATTCCCGCCATCTGATTTCTTAAGCGAGCACAGTAGAGTAGTCATTACTTCGTGTTTTTTGTTGTTGTATTTTTTATTTTATTTTGTTGTATTTTTTTTCGATTTTGATTTTAAATAATTTCTGTGCATTTTATTTCTCTCGGAACTGGCTCTGTTTGTGTGTGTCCGTGAGTCTGCGTGCTGAGATGAGGAAATGCCTCCCCGCTTATAACGCGAATTTGAAAACAACACGCCATGATGACTATGACTTGTAATGAGAAGCGTTTCTAAACCTGCTGTCCAACAAAAGAGAACATTACAACATGTTTTTACTCCACAACATCAGTTGAGTGTTTGAAATAACTTTTGTGATCTGATGTGGCTTCTTATCACAGAATGTGTCAGAAAATATATTCTATACTGTAAAAAAGGTTATGTTGATAAGCAATGGATTATAAATATACAAAATTATTATGAAAATACCCGAGATGGCTTGAAGAACACCGATAAACTATACATTGTCGCAGTCGAGTGTTTATTGTCTTAATGTTGCGTCATTCAAAACGTTTCTATCTCTTTGAAGTCAGCTACAGCGACAGCTGGATGTCTTTGTCCATATTAGGGATTTCCTGGAACATCAGGAGCTCTATTACTATTGTGATGCATATGTGGTTTCTGTGCGAGGGCACCCTCTGGCTTCCAGACATTACATGTGTTTATAGCGTGCAATAATGGCCAATCCATAAAAAAATAATACTTCTCTCAAAAGAAATTTGAAGTAGACATAATCCATGTTTTTCTACAGTGTACAGACTTGTACTGGAGTTTTAATTAACGTGAACTGGAGTTTTTTAAAATAGCATTTTAAATCGCAAATTTCCAGAACGCTGACTGTTACTATAGCAACCGGGACTTCTAACGGCAGCTGAAGTGCCGTTACTTTACTGATTAGTGATTGGCTCTTTTATTCAGAAGGCGGTGCTTCCTTCGATAGAGCGGCCGTATTGAGCGTTGCATTTTTGCCCATTCCGAGTGACACGTCTTGGGTATTCTATAGTCTTTGACTGTGCTGTGGCTTTGGAGCGTGCGCTATATGGAGCAGAGCAGATGCTTTCAGTTTACAATTGTAGCATCCATTGTCCAACTGAACTAAATGTTTTTTATTTCTATAAAAAGCAAAAAAACAGTGGGGGCAGTACCGCGGTGGGCAAGTAATGTATTCAGTGTACCGCCAAACACATAAACCACAACAGCATAGACCACCGCAGCAAGCCTAAAAGAAAGTAGAATTTTTTTTTTATAAATAGAAATATAACAAAAATGTCTTTACTATCATAATTTAATGTGTCCTTGAGCATAAATGTCTTTAAAAAATCTTGCTGAGCCCAAGCTTTTGAATGGTAGTGTTTGAGGAATAAAAGTGCTGCTTGTCTTGTCAGGTAGAGATCTGATTAAACAGATGTTTTTCAATGGGTATGTTGATAAATATGCTGTGGTTTTCCAGCTGTAACACTTATCTCATGGTCTTGGACAGAACTGTGGCCCTCATGCTTTGAAGTTTCAATCATTGTTGCTATGGCAATTCAAACAAACCAAGTAGTTGCACATCAAGCTCGACCTCCACACCTTTCATTTATGACCCTCCCCCAAAACACTCACACACACTCACACTCACACACACACTCACTCACTCACTCACTCACTCACTCACTCAAGCATTACTAATGTGGCTTTCTGGAGAACTCCATAGACTACAAACAGTTACGATTTCACTGCAGCTTTTGAACTGCAGTAGATCAGGAACCACTTCAAAACATGCATTGATCAGAAGGTGTGGTCTTTTCAGGTCAGAGTAATAAAAGAGGCTTTATGTCTCAAATGAAATTTAATAGCACTCAGTTTCCACACCCAGAAGGACAATTTATAATTTTGCATTCATAATGACTCGGGTTTATTGTTGACATAATATTGCACTATGACATTCATGACAAATCTTGAGACTCGTGTCACTGAGAACTACTTCATTCACATTTTCAGTTCTTTGCAGATGTTTATCTGATGTCTCATGTCTTCTTTTTTTCCCAGTTAAGCTATATATGTTTAAACCAAACATGCTTATACTGGCTGATATTGCCAAGTCTTTTCTCAAATGTAAAAAAGAAGCAGGCTCAGTAGTCACGATCAGGTGTCAGTAAGGGACACCAGTATCAGATGTCACTATTGAGTGTTGCTGTTCCATGTGCTTGAAACAAAAACAGAGGTATTTACCTGATGCTGTACAATTTTCTATATAGTACGATCAAGTTTTTGCTCAAACAATTGGCAAGCAACTGCACTGAACTTGGTCATGTGGTGTATGTTTTAGTACTTCCTCTGAATAATGCCAAAAATAGTGCCCTACCTATATTGTAAACCTATTTATTTGGCTATTCATACTAGGAGTGGGTGGTATGGCCAACTTAGATGAATTTGTTTCTTTACTGGAACAGATTTGGAGAAATGTAGTATTATATCACTTTCTCACCAATGAATCCTCTGCAGTGAATGGGTGCCGTCAGAATAAGAGTCCAAACAGCTGATAAAAAGATCACAATAATCCACAAGTAATCCACACCACTCCAGTCCATCAGTTATCATCTTGTGATGATAACTGACTCATCTACATCTTGGATGGCCTGAGAGTGAGTATATTTTCAGCAATTTTTCTTTTTATGGGTGAACTTTTCCTTGAAGAATATGACACCTTGAACAACAAATAGTTTCATTACCCAATTACCTAAATTTAATTGCATTTTTTAATTTGATTAAGTTTTGGTTTTGTTTTTCAGCTAAAGGAAAACTTTAAATTTGGTGTCGTTAAAAAAAATCATTTCGGTGTGTCATTACTACTAATACAAAATACTTCCTCATTGGATTAGTTTCTTCTCTCTCTCTTTGTATCTCTTTCTCTGTATAAGCATATAGTGGTATAGAAGAATCTTTATTGTACTGTTTCATTATTTGAATTTAGCATTTTCTTTCCTGTTGTCCACAAACTTATCCTATCAGACTTGTGGCCCATTTTTGGGTTGCAACCCACCAGCTGAGAACGACTGTCATATCAGAAACCTCTAGGGTGTATGATAATTCATATTCATCTAACTATCCAGCTAGAATTCGATTGGACTCATATACATATATATTGCGGTCTTTTGTATGAAATTACTCCTAGTGTGTGCATAATTACTCTGCTTTGTTTTAAAAAAGACAGGCTTATTTGATATGGAAATACATTTTAATATAGAGTAGGGGTTTGTTATATCACTTGGGGGCAAAAAAGATTAAAAAGCAAAACAAAAGTAGCTGTTTCTTCAGCAACGTTGTCCGCTAATTACATTTTACACCTGAGGCACTTATGCAGCCCTGATTATTTCGACACTACCAAGGCCAGTACCTGAGCATGTTATTGCCTGTTTTAAACATTGACTGTGCAGTATTTTGCCGCACAAAAGTTGCACTATGCTGATCACTGAGGTTTACCCAAACTCAAAGGCCTAATAATCTTGTTGGGCCTCCTTTCAGAGTCTTGACACATGATAATTATCTCATAATTCAGATAAGCTGCCCCGATTGTTAGGTCAGGTCGAATTATTATAATTTGTCATTTTGCAGATGCATGGAATTCGAAAAGACATTGATTGCAGGGTCCTCATGGATCATCATGCGATGGAATGCTTCGTTTGAGGGTGAAACATGCTGATAGGTTTTTCAGTAATTCTCTAGTGCTCAAGCTTGAGATAAGTTTCGATTATGTAATATTATTACAATTTTAAATAAGGGTTCTCTATTTATATTTTAAAATGTAAATTATTCCTGTTATGCAAAGCTGAATTTTCAGCATCAGTATTCAGTGTCACATGATCCTTCAGAAATCTGCTGCTATAGAAACATTTATTATTATTATCAATATTGAAAACATTTATGCTGATCAATATTTTTGTGGAAACCGGGAGGATGAATATAAAGGATCGATGATGCTAATTTCTGAATTGGCCTACAAAAATACATCATCCCTGCAGGTGGTATAAATATATATACCTATATATAATATGTATATGTACCCAACTCTACCTCAGTCTGTTCATATAACTGTTTCTAAATGCCCGTGTTGATAAAACTCAGTTTGTCTCCAGGTCTGCTGATTTCCCTCCGTCCTCATGAAGTCAGTATTGTTCATTACTATGAATAAGCAGGTGTCAGAGAAAGAGGTTTCCATAACCATTTCAGCTGGGAGGAAATCTATATTTGATCTTTGTTATTGTCACATCAGCAAAGTGTTTCAGTGCCTGTGTGTGATGAAACAACTTCCCCTTTTAAATTGTTGCTGGCATTACTCTTTGTGCAATAGAACATTATGAAAGGAACCCAGAAGAGCCACACCTCAAGGTGGGAAGCCATGTTTCTCCTTTGATGTAGATGAACTCCACGTATGTATTTGAAGTATAAGCTTATATAGGTATATATCATCTTACAGCACAGGTGTATTGTAGTGAAATGTTAGACAGCTTAAAGGCAGTTTCACTTGTCATTACGGCATTCAGGTTCAGCCAGGTGTTTCAGTCCTGCACAGAAGAAATCACTTTTTTAAATCAATATTCTTGAGTCTCATTAACTAATAATTGCATAGATTATTCATATTCATACGCATTGAAGGACTTCTCACAAAAAAATTCTGCCTTATTCACAAAACATTCATGCACGTGTATTTGTTCTTAACCTAGTTCTAATGTTAATGAATTTGGAGTATTGAGAGACCGTGTACCAATGCAGGGTTACTAATTAGCATGAAATCATAAATATATTCAAATATTTGTATATATAACTGCTAATAAACAGATCGTCTTGTTTTCCAGAAGAAAACATATCAGCACACATTTACTTGGGAGGCAAAATTGTGTAAGATAAGTTTTGTTCTCAGAAAATACACATTCACACATTTTCTTGCGACTTCTTTTTTCTCTATAGCTGCTTTTAACACTTTATTTTAGACCAATTCTCACTAGAACTTTATCTTACACAAGAAACTTATCTTACACAATTTTGCCTCCCAAGTAAATGTGTGCTGATATGTTTTCTTCTGGAAAACAAGACGATGCTGAAAACAAAGTAATTTGCATTGCAAAACCAGATATTAAAGATAAAATGTGAAGGTTGTGTGAAGAGGGAAGGTAGAGCAATCTGAGTACAAGAGAAGAGGATTAGGATGGGTATTATTAGAGCTGTCTGTTTATCTATTCACCTTTAAATATAGCAGCGCTGTTTTAACCAATGAAAGAATGGCTGGCTGATGTATTGCATGTCAGACTGGTTGTTAATTAAAGAATTTGTTTGTTCTATGAGGGTAAACGGCATAAAAACATCCCCATCGGTTCTTTCCCCGCAGGGCCCGGTGTGGCCGCACCAGTTGCACCCTCCCAAGGACGGCCCTGTCTGTCTCTTTTTTTTTAATTTTTGCCATGAAATATGACCAGGACATCATCTTGACATGTTTCGTGAGATTCACCCATGAACTTGGTGTTCTCTTAAACATTTAAACACATCACTTTTCTGGTAATTACAGGCCTGTGAATCAGCAGTGTATTTCAGCATGTCTTGCACTCACTGAGACTGAAGGTGTGAGTCACACTCATGAATATCTTTTAGGCCTGAAGTGCCATTTATCAAACAGCTGTTGTATTGTCAGTAGAGGTGCTAATTTGAATTGGTTTCACATTTGCTGAGGGTATTTTCATGCTCAAACGTATTGAATCATAAACCTCCTTTTATAATTAGGCTGAAAACAGCATCAGTATTTTGGTTGATCTGATGATGTACAGCTTTGTTTGCACTGACTTCATACTGTTTTTTTTTTTTCTTTTCAGTGTCCAGAGTCATGAAACTTAGTCCTTGTCAAGCCCCATTATATGTAAGTATCCTTCATGCTTATTTTGCATTCCTCTTTATTTGCTCAGTCAAATCTATTTCAGATGGAGATGCAGTTTTGTTTCACACACACACAACTAGACAGAAGCATGTGTGTCTGAGTAATTTCAAAAGAAGTGGTGTTAGGCAGCTGCAATTTCAGCAAATATGATCATGCTAGAAAGTTGATTTGTTGTCCAGTTACTGTGCTAGTGGACGACCAATCAACAAGGTCAATATATAGGCCAATATTTGGGATTTTTAGGGGTTCACGTGTGTAGCGCTGAAACCCTATTGTAATTGTTAGAATGGCCAAGGATCAGCATTCTCCACTTAAAACTGATCGGGTAGACCAAACTGTAAATTGTAGAGACTTGAAAATTGGAGGGATAGTAGAACTCGCATGTCTACAACATCACCAAGGCTTGCTCATATATTCACACATACACTAGATCTTCATATCATATGATCGATCTACTCATTCTGAAATACAAATTTGCCTAGGACTACTGCTGTCAATCAAATCGTTCTTTAAATAGTTGGGATTATTTAAAAAAACCCTACTTTGCTGTTTTTTTAATTAAAAAATCAATAAAATCAGTGCAGTACAATTCAGGTCAAAAATTACCCCCAAAAAAATGTAACCTTTGCATTTGGTCAGCTGTAACAGGGTCAATTAAAAATATGGTCTTGATCTAGTGTACCCAAAAGCCTATGAATCCTCAAAGAAAACTCAAAACTTCACAAAACTCTGTAAACTCATACAAACTCATGCATCGTATGATTCTAAACAAGTGTAACCCCCCGGTGTCGCCGGCATGGGAGACGGGTGCAATAACAAGGAGGCTAAAGACTGCAGCGCCAGTGCGCCCCTTGAGATCTGGGGCCAGTTGCACAAACTTAGCCTTTATGTTAAGACAGTGTCTTAAGTACGAGTTTGACCAACTAGCAGTTAGCCAATGAGTAATCAGTCTTATTTTTGGAATTAACTTAGACTAATCTATGCTTTTATTTAACTGAATTAAAAAAAATTATAAATAGTCTTAAAGAAAAAAATGAGATGACTAACTTGTAAATCCAGTCTAAACCTTTTATGCAACTGGCCCCAGGTGAGTGAGGTTTACCTGCACAGCACCTACCAGCTGGCGTCTGTTACACTCACCCCCCTAAGCCTCACTCCCATCCGGGTCACGGCACCAATGTGACCTTTGGCTTTATCTGACCCAGTCCCACCCTTCACCAGGACAAGCACTCTGAATGTGGATGATATTGGAATTCATTTGCAGTCACCCACACACAGAGCAGTAGAAGAGACCGAAAATAGTTAGTCATGTAGTCATGTTAGAGCTCCACCTACAGCGTTTTTCCCTAGCTCTGCTGCAGATCGTTCAAGCTCAGTGGGCAACAGCTCCACCGGCATAACCAATAGAAAGTGCGATCCCATTAACAGGATTTAACTTAAAGAACCCCCAAACTATAATAATTTATCTCGTTACAAAAGCATGCACAATTTTATTGAAACTGGACAAAAAATGACACTGTAATAGTTATATAAAGGTTTAAAGCACTATATTTCTATAGTAAATTCCCTGAAATTGCAATTTTATTATAATTTATATTTACACATTATAAAATCATTATTATTACATTTAACCTGAAATTTACTCAAAGTTTACAAATGCATTTATACAGACATAACAGTTTTTACAATTATGCCACATTATGATTAAATTTAAACCTGAAAATGGTGTCATAAACAGCAGACATACAGTAAGCATTTTGTTACCTATCGGTTATTTTAAATATCTATATCTACAAAAAAATGTGTATGTGTGTTTGTGAGCATGCTTAGTGTGTATTAATACAGTATCTATTAAGTAATATAGTTTAACCCTTTCAATACTCTGTGCATGTGATCTTATTCTCCATCATGGATGTGTTCTGGTGTCAGCCATACAATTCACATTGGCCTAGACCCTAACAGCATAGAAGCCATAAAGCCCTTAAAGCGCTTGCTTAAAGCATGCTCCAACATGCTGAGAACTGTTTGCTTAGGGTTTGATAAACAGTATTGAAATGTGTATTTCTTATGGCTTTGTCTTGATTTATGTAAAAATCATTATTGGGTTCATTATCATTAAAAATCATTATTGACTTCAAGGGAAGTCGTGGCCTAATGGTTAGAGAGTCGGACTCGTAACCCAAAGGTTGCGGGTTCGAGTCTCGTACCGGCAGGGATTGTAGGTGGGTGGTGCACTTTGGATGGGTTAAATGCAGAGCACTAATTCCAAGTATGGGTCACCATACTTGGCCTCACGTCACTTTCGCTTTTTTTCACTTTTAATTATTAATAGCATCACGTATACATGACGTCATTGCGTGAACAAACTGTCTGAAAAAAACAATTTGTAAAAAAGAACTGGCCTTCCCGCAACTAATGTTTACACTGAAAAACAATGCAAAGCAGCACAGCGAAACGCAATAAGGCATTCTGTGTGAACAACCCCTTAGTCTGGAGGAATTATGTTGGTAATGCACCATCAGATACTCCTCTAGGTTAAAAAAAAATAGGTCCACCTTGAACTGACAATTCAGACAACTTTACAGCTCAAATAACACACAATTTCAGTGAAACATTCATGTAAGTGCTTTATCAAAAATATAAACTCTCCACCTGCTTTTAGCATAGACCTTGCCTCATATGTTTTAATGGCAAGTTGAAATGATCAGTATATTATAGTTTTCCAGTACAAATATCTAAACCGACCTAAAGCAAGATGCATTTTGTTTAGGAAGCAAAATTATGTAAGATAACAAAATCTTTTAGATGTGTTGAAATGTGTGAATTAACACCTTTCACATCCTTAATGCATTTTAGGAGAAACCTCACTAAAATAAGTTAGATTTATGCTTGCAACAAGACAAAAAAAAAAAGATTTTCTGAAAACAAGACTTACAAGACTTTGCTTCTCAATATTGATATAGATAGGATATTGGGTTTTTTGCATTTCATTTAGTTTTTTTTTAGGATAAACCTCACTAAAATGAATTTTATGCTTTCAACAAGACAAAAAAAAAAAAACTGTCAATGCAGTAAAAAAAACAACCTCATTCAATATATATTTTCTGAAAACAAGACTTCTCTTACTTTGCTTCTCAATATTGATATTGATATTGTGGTTATTGTGTTTTTTGTTTGAATTCTTTGCTTGATCATGCTGTGCCAGGATGGTCAAGATGCTCAAACAAATAGAGCAAACAGATCACAACAGATGTCTGTCTTATAGTTGTCTGTGCTCATAAAGCTGAAATAGAAGGAAGTATTTCACCACATACATTTTCTGCAATAATATAATCAGAACCCAGTCCAAAAACAGTCTAGCTTCACCAGTCCGCTCAAAGTCTGCTGTCCTTTCAGTCGTCTTCAACACAGATCTTGAAACATCAATCAAATTCTCATTCAGGATAGCGGTGACCCCTGATTGAAGCAATACGGCTAATCTAGATCCCGAAGGGGAATATGGCTGTCAGCACCTTACAAGAACAGAAAACAAGTCGATCTGCGGGAAGGATGTATGACCGGTATTGTGTTACTACCACAAGAAGCCTATCTGACGTACGGAGTACAGTCAACAAAGAGAAGGGATTTTCCCTCCACTGCTGTGAAATCCGATGAGGGTTCAAAGAGACTTATCTTTGTGTTAATGTCTGTAATTAACTGCTGAAACGATATTAGATTATCCAAAGGGCTGAGATAAATGGATACAATGGTGATAAGTGAAAGAGGATGGATTAGAACGGTTTTGAGCACAGAAGTATGTGTGACACCCCTTATTGTTTCTTTATTCCCATAGACATCTTTCCTCTCCTGAAATAATTTCAGGAGTCAGTATGCAGCTTAGATTTCCTAAATTCTGTCTGATTGTCAATCGAAACTCACATATCCTATATCTATTGCTTTAACGCAAGGACTTTGCCATGGCACAAATGGTTCTTAAAGGGGTCATATGATGCTGCTAAAAAGAACATTATTTTGTGTATTTGGTGTAATGAAATGTGTTTATGCGGTTTAAGGTTAAAAAAACACATTATTTTCCACATACTGTACATTATTGTTTCTCCTCTATGCCCAGCCTTTCTGAAACGTGTCGATTTTTAAAAAGCTCATCGATCTGAAAAAGTGAGGTGTGCTGTGATTGGCCAGCTATCCAGTGCGTTGTGATTGGCCGAATACCCCAAGCGTGTGACGGAAATGTTACGTCCCTTACCATACTGTGATGCCTGCAGCCTGCGGCAACCCCATATGACGACCCCGGGCTGGACTCCGCTTCGTCCATGGTGAAAACCGATCCGGCGATCGACAGCACCAAGTTGAAGTATTTCCTCAGCGACCACCACGGATCAGCTCCAGGCATAACGAAGCGATATCATCCTCTTTTGGAAGGCCAAACAAAGTAGTTTCGCTTTCACAACGAAGCACACAGAGCCTTCACGACATGGCGGCGGCAACAATACTACAGCGAGAATAAAAGTTACTCCTTTCTTTGCGTGAACATTTGGGCGGCGTTATGCAAATCTTCCCACATAGTGACGTAGGTATGTGGGGGCGTGTTAGAACGAGCCGTTTTAGGTAGGCGTGGTTGACTCTTAACTTTTATAAAGGATATCTCTTTGGATTTGAGACTTTAGTGTTTGCAACTTTACAGATCTTCTTTATGCACCAAGAGCTTGTAACAGTCCAAAGAGAAAGGAAAAATTGAAATCGCATCATATGACCCCTTTAAGTTTCAACAAAGAACCCTCTACGTATCAAGACCGCTTTATCTGTTTCTTGAGTTGATTAAATTATAGTTCATTGGAGATTTATGTTCTTAAATGTTTTGGAGATTTAAATTTTGCAATATAGGTTCTTAAAATCGGAACATTGGTTTCTGCATTCTTTACAGTCAAAATTTTTTTTTTTTTACAATGGGTCTTTAAAGTAAAGTTTTATTTCTTCAAAGTCACCATTACATACAAATGTGACTTTGTGACTTTTATCTATAGAATTTGTTTGTTTTGTTTTGTTTTTGAAAGAAGTCTCTTATGCTCACAAGGGCTGTATTTATTTGTTTAAAAAAACAGTAATATTGTGAAATATTATTACAACTTAAAATAACTGTTTTCTATTTGAATATATTTTTAAATTTTTATTTATTCCTGTCATGTAAAGCTGAATTTTCAGCATCATTACTCCAGTCTTCAGTGTCACATGATCCTTCTTTCAAATATGCTGCTGATTTGCTGCTCAAGAAACATTTTATTATTATTATCAATGTTGAAAACTGTTGAGCAGCTTAACATTTTTGTGGAAACTGTGATACTTTTTTTTTTTCAGGAATCTCTGACAAATAGAAAGTAAAGTTTTGTAACATTATTAATGTCTTTTTGTCACTTTTGGTCAATTTAATCATGCATACTTGCTGAATAGAAGTATGCTTCATTTTTTCATTATTCCATCTGATATTTTCATGTACAGTTTGGCCTGTTTAAATAGGAAATGCATTTTGATTCTAATTAGAAACTTGATTTGTGATAATGGCTTTTGCAGTGGTGGTTCCATCGGCCTCTGAGCGTGTTGTTTGAATATTAATTATATAGTATTTTTTTATGTGTGTTAATTTGTGAAAGTGTGACAGGAAGAGGGAAGCTTCTCATCTAGAACATCAGGGCGTGTGCTGTTAAATTCACACAGTGCTATCTGTGCTAATCTGTGCAGACCAACACCAGTGTGATATCCTGTTGTAACCACAACTTCAGTTTTGGTTCTCTGAGTTCTTGGGTTAAAATATATGAAAGGTTCCATTTGGAAGCAAGGATAGTAAGCTTTTTGCAAACCTTTCACATTCATCAAGTCCTTGTGTCTAATAAATAATGTAGAACTGTATTGTTTGTTTTTTCAAACTGTAGTTTACTGATCAAGTTTGCAGAATATGAACGCATCATTCAATCAGAAGGTTTTGGAACGGGTGGAGGCTTGGATCATTTTGGCATTTTGTTTGTGATTTTTGCCCTAAAATTCTTATTCATAAACACATAATTTTGTGTTTCACACTTCTCTCTTTTCCTGTATCAGGGCGAGTGTGTGCTAACAGTTCAGCTCTGTGATGAGGCGCTCGGTGAAGGAGAACAGGGGGAGGTGCAGTTCTTCCTGTTGTTCACTGGCTCTGCTCAGAGACATCTTACCAGCACACTGAAGGTCAGCCATGCCACCCTTCAGGCTGTGTGTCCAGGTGAGCGTAATATTGGGCCCTTAGATCTGTGATGTTATAGCCAACTGCATCCCAACTCTGACCTCTTGACCCTTTTTCTGCTGAAAAAAAAAGTTTTTGTTACACACATCTCCTAAAACTGGGTTTATGAATTGGGGTTCGTGAGGGAACTGCAGGGGGTTTGTGAGTTTCTGAAAAGCGAATTATAAATTAAATGATCGACACTTACTAAAAATTGTCATGTTTAATTGTTTACCTGCATGTCATGTGACATTGAACAACATCAGAGAACCGTTAACATGCAAATGTGTTAAGTTATTGAAATATTCGCTTAAAATCTCAGGACATGCTTAAATATTTTAGGTCAAAGGGGTTCGGCTGACAAAAAAGTTTGGGAATCCTTGTCTTAAAATAAAGTTTGCTATAAAATTGTTATTTGGTGCTCTAGTAGTCAATAGCACTATAAAGATAAAAAAGAAACTGCATATGTACTGAGCTAAAATTATTATTATTAATACAACAAATATTTAAATGACAATATCTTTTTTTAATTTTTTTAAATAGAGAATCCCCAATAAATGGTGGTATTATAAATCTATAGTAGTTTTCTAAAAAATACAATTAAACATATAAAAAACTTGAATAAACTGTTCGGATCATTACATGCACACAACAACTCATGCCAACTTGTGTTTTTAACGTGAAATCGTTCTTCAAGAGATTCCTGCTTTAATATTCAAGTGCTTTTAAAAGGTTAAACCTTTAAAATCCTTGCTATCCTTTCAATTTAGTGCTAGATTATTGAGCTAAATCTTAAAATATTGCTGATACCATGAAAAAAAAAAAGAAGAAGAAAAGAAAAAAGCACACATTAGCCAGTATTGTGCGTCTCTACTGGTTGATGTTTTAAAAACACTTTACATAAGAATCAAGCTGCAAATTGCTTCTACTTTTCTCTGCATAAACTGGGACCAGATAAAGTGTTTTAGCATTGAAAAATGACATGCATCAAATTTCAGATTGATAAAGAAATTAAAGTGCCCTTATTATGGATTTTGGAAAATTGCCTTTCATGCAGTGTGTAACACAGCTCTAAGTGAATGAAAACATCCTGCAAAGTTTTAAATCTGAAAGTGCACCGTTTATATAGTTATTGTCTCTCAAAAGAAAGAGTCAACTCTGAATCATTGAAACGAGTCGTTTTTAAAACGAATCCCAAGCTGTTTCATGTTGACGTCAACATGAAACATTAGCATATTGCCCGCCCACTTGTTGGTCTTTTCTTTGCCACTAGATCCCGCTTTTGGAGCGGTAAAATAGCTGTTGGAGACTCCCAAAACCAAAATATGAACCTTTCATTACCCATAATAGGGGCACTTTAAGGTTCACATTAACTCATTGCCACATACTAAAGTTGAGGAATGTGGTTGTTCTGGTGTTCTAGTGATGAATGTTTAACTGTCTATGTTCTTCTGACTGCGTATTTAGAGACTTTTTTTTTGTTTACTCCGTTGGGGGAAGATGAATTGGGTGAACATGCTGCCCTCTGTCCTCTTTTTAAGAAATTACTTTTGGCAAAGTAAAATGAGCATTCTCTGCACACATACAGGTGCATCTCAATAAATTAGAATGTCGTGGAAAAGTTCATTTATTTCAGTAATTCAACTCAAATTGTGAAACTCGTGTATTAAATAAATTCATTGCACACAGACTGAAGTAGTTTAAGTCTTTTGGTTCTGAAATAAATGAACTTTTCCACGACATTCTAATTTATTGAGATGCACCTGTACATAATCTGTGTTTTAAGCTGTATTTTCCAGTCAAAGATTGTGTTATATGAATTAACTCTCATGTAAGTCCTCACTGCGGACAGTGTTTGTCTCAGGCCAAATAAAGGTGGCATCACTTGGTCCTGTCAACAAAACATGTTTGCTTGGTGATCCTATTAAGGACTCAGGTGGATTGAGTCACACTGAACATGGTGTAGCTCAGGCCCATAGAGAGAGTTCAATGGAGAAACTGATTGTGGCATATTTTTAAGCATATCTATATATGTATTAGTCTTTTCTTATCTCATCGTTTGAATGATATGCGTGTTATTTAGGGCTGTTTGGTCGCTGAAGCGAATCTGCTCTCTATGGAGATGTTCAGTCAGCATGAATGAATGACATTGAGGGCAGCAATGCTTGTGTTTCAGTGTCAGATGCCTCAGCAGTCAGTGAAGGGGATGATCCGCTGATGGAGGGAGATTACAGGGAGAAGCTGTGTTTGCCACTTGTGAACCTAGTTTGAGTGTTTGTATATGGATTTTGCATTGAAGTCAACGTGAAAATTGACCTTTTATTTAAATATACCGGGAATAGTTCACCTAAAAATTAAAATTTGCTGCAATTTTACTCACTCTCAGGCCATCCAAGATGTAGATGAGTTTGTTTCTTCATCAGAAATTTAGCATTACATCACTTGCTGAATGGGTGCCGTCAGAATGAGAGTCCAAACAGCTGATAAAAACATCACAATAATCCACAAATAAAAGAAAAGCTGTGTGGCCAAAATACATGTCCATAATCCATAATAACGCTTCCCTGAAAAAGTCCATAAATCAACCAAAATATTTGTTTAGAACCATTTTTGACTATTTTTGCTTGTTTTGCAGCAGTATTATGGAAAGAGGACTCGTATTTTATCCAGAAGGAATGGTTAAAAATGCCTTAATGAGGGATTTGTTTCTTACAAACATGCAGCTTTTCACTTCACGTCTAAACAACATTAGACCCCATTAACTTTCATTGTACAAAAAAAAAAAAAAAAAAAAATCTAAATGTAATAATTTACAGTATTGGGTCAGGGAAAAATTACAATAACCAGTAACATTGAAGCACTTAATCACTTTCCGGATAAAATTTGGGGTCCTACTCTACATTTGTTTCTTAATTAAGATTCTGTTTCACTCTGAAATATGTATCATTATGGAGGTTAAATATTTCTAAAACTGGTATCCTGTTCTTGCATGACTCTAAGTATGTTATTGGGACATTGCAGAAATATTTTTTTCTGGAAATAGAAATTACATCATATTTGTCCTGTTTACAGTGTTGTCATGTGGCTGATGGGTTACAGTCATGTGCATTACAAAAGCAGTAATTTTGCATAGCGTTATATTTATTTTAAGCATTCTATGAATGTATGTATATTACTATGAATGTAGTTATTCACTGAGTAACTAACTATAGAGAGTTGTATGCACATAACATAATGCTTTTACCGTAAATATAGGTTTGTCCTTTTTTTTCCCAGGAGGTTGACCATTTATTTTATTTATTTTATTTATTTTATTTTATTTTATTTTATTTTATTTTATTTTATTTTATTCAATGCAATGCAATGCAATTAGTCATCAACATTATTTATTGTATTGGATATGTTTGACTGCTGTCATGAACTTTTGCTCTCTGTACAGCTCATAACTGCTGTGAGTGGGTGCTGGTCACCCTGTGCTCAGCGGGACCAGACGGTAACATTCATACTCTGGCTACCGAGCGCCTGCACTTCGTACAGGACCTGGCCTTCGACATGGCCCAGTTCCTGGTGAGCGCGGTGGGGCAGACAAGCCTACTGGAAGAGGCTCTGCTACTGGACGAGCATCAGATCCCGCTGCAGGAGTGCAAAAAGCTGGACCAGAATCTGTCCCTGGCCCTCAAACATATCACGCTGCCCCCTGGCTGGAACCTGCTGAGGAATAACACACGTGAGTGCAGCTTGGTGGTGGCTTCGATCTGGGCTGGCAATCAAAAGGTTGTAGGTTCAAGTAATCATGCGTTACACCTGTAATTGCCTTCTGTATGTGTTCTTTAAGGCAAGACACCCCAGGTAAATACTTCCCCAGTTAACTATTTTCTATTAAAACTGAAAGGTTTTCTGTGTAAATATGGAAATGAGGCATTGTCTTAATTAAATATGCACTAATTTACATACATTTCTATTACAGAAATCTGAACATTGGATAAAGCCAGGTTCAAAATTCTTGTTTCATTTTGTTTAATTAGAGTCAAAGGTTTTTACAGAGAGGGTTTTAGACTAAACTAAGATAAGTAGCCATGTTCTAATAATGTTCTAATTTTTTATTTAATTAGTTGTAACTATTTATCACAAGAACTTAAACCAGCATAATTTTGTAGCTTAACTGATCATGACAAAGAAAAGTGCCTTTGGAGGTAGGACTTTACATCGTCCAATAGGACTTTATCATATATTTATTATCAAACTGGAGGATCGTCTCAACAGAAGTTAAGATGTGGTTGATCCTTTAGGGGGCGTTATAACATTAGTGTAGATCATCAGGCTCATACTTCATTGATTGATTTCTAACATTCTATAAAATGAAAAAAAAAAAAAATACAATTTACAGCCACATTTAATTTAATATGTAATCTATTATAAAATACAAATATAAACTGCTCAATTTTAGAGGGCTAATAATACTTTTGTGGAAATCTCTCAAGTTATCCTTGGCCTGCGACTTATGTCTCCATTTTTTACATTTGTTTTCATTCTTTTTTTGGATATCATTACAAATTTAGAAGAGAATGTACTGGATGATGTTCCACAGCACATATCTGTAGCCAAATAAATGTCCCTAAATGACATTCCAGATCAGGTTCCAAGTAATCAGAACAGTTCCTTTGAGTTCATAATGGTCACATGACGGTTGACAGGTCAGTTACAGTGTGATGTTAATTACAGGTGGCAAATCTGTTTAATTAATTGACATTATTTTTGGCCTGGTTCTTCTCTGCTGAATCACAGTACTTTGTCCTTGTCCTAACAAACTTGTGTGGTGGATTATTATGCTTGAGCATTGTGCTTGTGCTCTTTTTCTTTAAAACAAATATCACATGCCTTGATATTTTATGCAATGCAAAAACATTCTTGTTCAAATACAAGGACATATAGAAATATACTGTATACACACCATTCAAAACTGTTGGGTAGGGATTTTTTAATTTTTTTTGTTTTAAAAAATTAATACTTTTAGATCCTCCTGATTACAAAGAATCAGTTTCCACAAAACTATTAAGCAGTACATCTGTCTAAAATATATCAACAAAGTCATTTTTAAATTGCAATAATATTTCATGATATTCCTGTTTTTACTGTATTTTTGATCAAATAAATGCAGCTGATAGGAGGATAAATGCATTAAAAAAACGTATAACTTTGGAATGATAAACATAGTTTGTTTGATTTATGTCATAGCAGAAATTTAATTTGCAATTAAATAGAATGCTAGTACTTGTAAATTAGGGCAAAAGACTAGGTCAGACAGACATTGGTTTACATCCCTCTGTTTTTCTCTCTGAATATTCTTATTTCTCTCTTTCAGGACTGGAACCTCAAGAGACCCTCCTTCACTTTGCAGCCCGCCGCGGGCTCCTCAGAGTGGCCCGTTTTCTCCTCAAGCAGCCAGGGGCCCGAGAGGCCCTCAACCTGTCTAACAAACAGGGCGCCACACCGGTGATCATTGCCCAGAGTCGAGGATATACAGCACTGCTGGAGCTCTTCAGCCTGTGAGTGATGTGCTTACTGTACATACACAGCATCTTATTTAAATGAACACAACATAAATCTGTCATGATGGAGAAGCAGGAGTGAATTGTCACTCTGTGGGCACCAGTCTACTGTCAAATATAAATAATTATCCTTGCACTGGGTTAAATAGTCAAAAACACGAGTTTTTGTATTATAAGTGAACAGTTTACGAAGCTTAAAGGAACACTCCACTATTTTTGAAAATAGGCTCATTTTCCAACTCCCCTAGAGTTAAACAGTTGAGTTTTACTGTTTTCGAATCCATTCAGCCGATCTCCGGGTCTGGCGGTAGCACTTTTAGCTGTAGCTTAGCATAGATCATTGAATCTGATTAGACCGTTAGCATCTCGCTCAAAAATGACCAAAGAGTTTCTATATTTTTCCTATTTAAAACTTGACTCTTCTGTAGTTACATCGTGTACTAAGACCGACGGAAAATGAAAAGTTTTCCTAGGCCGATATGGCCTGAGTTGGAAAATGAGCCTATTTTCAAAAATAGTGGAGTGTTCCTTTAACATGGTTTTGTTCCTGCTACTTCAGTTATAATGGTTAGTTCGCAATAAAGCTGTCTGATTCTTACAGGTTTTAAAGGGTTAGTTCACCCAAAAATGAAAATTAGCCCATGAATTACTCACCCTCAAGGCATCCTAGGTGTATATGACTTTCTTCTTTCAGACGAATCCATTCGGAGTTATATAAAAAATTGTCTTTGATCTTTCAAGCTGTTTAATGGCAGTCAGCGGGTATTGCAGTGCATCAGTCCAAAAGAAGTGAAATAAAGCGCATGCATCCATAATAAAAAGTGCCTCACACGGCTCCGGGGGGTGAACAAAGGCCTCCTGTAGCGAATCGATGCGTTTTTGTAAGAAAAATATCCATATTCAAAACGTAATCATCACTTTAATCTAGCTTGCGCTCACTGTTGTACACGGAAGCAGCTCTGGGTGGATGACGTAGGACGTCGGATTTGCGCATGCGCCGCTCAGAAGTGACGAATGCGGAAGCGCAACGGAGAGATCAAAACAAAACAACGGTCATGAATTAGAAGTAAACAACGAGGATTTGTCGGAGGATTTCGATATAAGCCAAGAGGAGACTGGTTTTCCTTTGCTAAAGTAAGGAAACTTTGCTTCCTTTGCTCCTGTAAACAAACGTTGGTTTTCACGAGACTCACCGTCGCATGCGCAGCGCTGAACTCATACGTCATCAGCTCGGAGCTGCTTCCATGTACAACTGTTGGCGCAAGCTAGATTAAAGTGATGATTACGTTTTGAATATGGATATTTTTCTTACAAAAACGCATTGATTCGCTACAGGAGGCCTTTGTTCACCCCCCGGAGCCCTGTGAGGCACTTTTTATTATGGATGCATGCGCTTTATTTCACTTCTTTTGGACTGATGAACTGCAATACCCGCCGCTGACTGCCATTAAACAGCTTGAAAGATGAAAGACAATGTTTTATATAACTCTGATTGGATTCATCTGAAAGAAGAAAGTCATATACGCCTAGGATGGCTTGAGGGTGAGTAAATAATGGGCTAATTTTAATTTTTGGGTGAACTATTCCTTTAAGTTCACTAACTATTTTAAACCTCTATGTTGTTAACTAAAACCAAAACCATAAAAAAACAACAACATTATTATTATTTTATTTTAGCTAGTTGCTTGGACAACATTTTTCATTTTCGTTTAGTTTAACTTATAGTACTCAAATAATTAAAGCTGAAATAAAAATGGATAAAAATACGCAAACTTCTAAAATCAACTTAAAATCTAATTGAGATACATTATTGGTGCTTTTTTTCCCACACAAGAAACATCTGAGAAATAGGAAGTTTCCATTAGCTCTCCATTTAATCTCATTGCTTAGACATTAAAGTGATCTAATTGCGTATTGTTCTTTCATCTGCTGCATGCTGCTTCAGACAGCAGTGACAGTTGCTTTCATGTGGCAAAAATCACTCCACCCCGCATTAGTCAACACTCTAGGCCCAGATTTGAACCATTACCTCTTATTATTAATGCTCTCGAGTTGGCGAAAGAATAGAAAATATGCATTCAGTTGCATAATAACTCCATTTGTATATTTCGATCATTCCCCACTGCCTCTTCAACAAATAAATCAAAGCAGTACATCCATAAGAACTGTAATTTTATTGAGTGTCTTGATGACAGCAGGGTGTTATTTTGTTTAAAGTTAAAATGGAACAGTTTGAGCATATCCTGTTCATCTGATGGCTTGTTTTGATTTAGGGAGGATTTGGATGCAGACATTGGCGTTGAGACGCTCAGACAGGTCTCCTCCTCGAGCAGTCGTGTGGTACAGCACCACCCCTCTCTGAACACCTACACCCTGTCTTTGGGCACTGAGCCGGGCGGCGCACCACCCAACCTACAGACCGACATCCTGGAACTGCGCAGACTGATGCTTTGCCATTGTCAAGGGAAGGTGAGTCAGGTTAGTTTGCTTAGATGTGTCGGCAAAACTTCCTTTTCTAGATGTTCAACTCGGTCTGTTTCTCTCTCTTGCTTTCTGTCTGTTTGTTTTTTTTCTTTCTTTTTGAGTGTGATGAACTTCTCCAGAGTTGAGTTATTCAGCACGACAAGGACAGCATGTGTAAACATGAAGAATAATGATAATAATATATTGACAAAGACAAACTGTAACTTTAGTTTTAACCATGTGGTTGAATCTGTAGTATCACTTCCTTTAAAGTGATATCAAAAAGATCAAATCTTAAAAGATAAAAAACATATATATATATATATATATATATTATTATTTACTGGAAATGTCACAGCATGAGATGACTGAACAGGTAGGTTAATTCTTTTCAACATTCATATATTTTAAAGGAAATAAAACAACAACAACAACAAAAATATTAATATGCATTATACATCTAATTTCAATAAATGTGACATTTAGGTAGAATTCAGTGGATTTATTGGTTTTAAAAAATATAAAAATATAATGGTGACGACGAGCCATTTTTCAACATGCAAATATGCTGCAATTGTGATGAGAAATAATGTTTTTATTTTCCAGTTTATTCAGCAGCCAGTCTTCAGTGTCACACGATCCTTTCGAAATCATTCTAATATTTTTTTTTGCCACTTAAGAAACATTTCTTATTAATTCTGCTTTAAAATATTAAATAGTATAATATTTTCTGCTTAATATTTTAGTAGAAACCATAATGCTTTTATGTCATTATTCTTTGATGATTACAGAAATGCATACTCTTGTAACATAATAAATGTCTTTACTGTCAATTATTGATCAATTTTATGTGGCCTTCCTGAATAAAAGTATTAGTTTCTTTAAAATATCCTACTGAGTTTTGAACTGTAGTGTATGTGATACTATAGTATATTATAATAACAATTATTTTATATGATATTTAACACAATACAATATTTATTAAACATATTAATATTGCTATTTATCCTCTATAATTCCTCTGTACAACTTGAAACCTTGTACTTCTCAAGTTACTGCCTCTTTAGGATGAATCACTGTGTTGTCTTTTTTGTAAGTCGCTTTGGATATCAGAAATGTCTGCTACATGAATACATACTATTATGCAGTCAACAGAAGGGAATTTGTTTGCCAAGAAATATCCCTCAGATTTAAACCTCCACCATAACATTTCTGCAACAGCTGTAGATCTGCTATTCATTGCAGTGGCATAACTGTAGAATTAGAGAATTGCTTGAAGGAGAGAAAACCCTAAGCTGTTGTTCTGTGTTCATGTTCAGGGAGGAGTTGCCTTTCAGCAGAGCTCAGACTCTCCGCATATTGCCCAAGAATGTGATGACGGCCTGGAGACCAGAGATTGCTGTTGTGAAGAGGCACCTCACGACTCCCTTGATACGAGAGAACGAGAGTTCACTCCTTTTAGCACAGAAGAAAACAAAGGACGTAATGACCGTCTGGATCCCTCGCAAAACAGGGAGGGTAACGGAGGTCCCTCGCTCAGCTGTGAAAGTGCCCCGGCTCTCCTACATAATGGCAATAGCGAAGATCAGCGGGCGTGTGCTTGTGAAAACAGTGAGACTGATTGCAGAGAGCAAGAGGAGCGTTCAACTACTGGTGTAGTTAGTACCGGTGACGTTGGAGATAGTAGTGATGGTTTGCAGAGTGGTTCTGAGAGCATAGTCAACAGAACCTCTTCCTGCGAACAACAGAAAGAGGAAGCTGATAAAGCAGATGACTTAATCTGTGAAGCACCAGGTTTTGCTGAGGGGCAAAATCAGGAAAAAGGACACAACTCTGTAGAGGAGAAAGTATCAGAGGAGAAAGAGCTAGTTGAACGTAGCCCCACCGTTGAGGCAGGAGATATGGGAATCACTCAGTCTTTGGACATGCCAGAAAGCTCGAATGTTGAATCTTCTTCTCAAGGCACTGAGACCGATGCTGAGGAAGAGGATGGGTGCGGAGATCTCATCGAATCTGAGGAGGTGCGAGAAGAAAGCAAGGAACCACCGGATGTAAATCCTGATGGAGATACACCTCTAGATAGCTCACACCAAAATTTAGTGGAAAATGAAATGCATGCTTGTCGAGGCATTTGTGATAAAACTGGTGACCCAGGAACCCATAAACTAGTGGGAGACATTTGTGAGAAGATCACGTGTAATGTGGGAGGTAGTCGAGATCTTGATTCTTCAGTAATCTTTGATCAAGAAGAAGCCAATGAGGAGTTTCAGGAGAGTCTAGAAATGCCATACATGGAAACAGATGGAGACCAACAGAACGAAGAACTTAGAGATGCAACCTCAAGGATTTCAGTTGCTGAAGATGAGAGCATTTTACACCTGCGTGAAGTAATTCAAGATGTGTTGCCTGTAGAACAACCAATTCTTTCAATTGAAGGCGTAGTGTTTGAAGGAAGTGAGTTTGACGGACAGAAGCTAAGTTCTTCAAGCGTCTTACAAACTGAGCTTGGTCCAGAACCTGGATCTTCCACAGCAACTAGTGAGGACATCTTAGAACCTGAAGATCTAGAGGTTCTTTTAGGTTCTGGCTGTGAGGGGACGGAGAACGTTCAAGGGAACCAGGAGGACGAACCCATTTGTGAAGCTCAGGCGTCAGCGGAGTATGTTCTTGAGTCAGCGATTTCTGCAGATACGGAGAAAGTGAATCTCCAAGGTGACTCTTCCCAGGATTCCAGACAGGATATGACCTCAAACAATGGGGTCATGCAGGGCACAGCAGAAATAGACCTTTTAGAAGAGGATGCAGGTGTAGTTTTTGTAAACACAGATGAATCTGGAGATCAACGTGTCTTGGTGGATCCCTCAGACATACTAGCTAAGTCAAATGAGTTTGGGATCTCTGAGGAAAGCCTGGCAGTCAATGCAGAAGATCTGTTTGGTGTTTCGGTCCACAGTGACCATGTAGATGGTGCCTTACATGTCCCAAATGCTCTTGATGAGGATGGCATTATAGTTCCTTATGTATGTCCTGAACAAGCCCAAGCAAACTTAGATCCAGTGTCTCAAGAAACAGAAGCTGTGCGACCAATGGGTGAAGAAGACCTACTGAAAGGTGAGCTGAACAATAGAAATGTAAAATATTTATGATGTTCCATGTTTTCTGGAAAAATGTTGCACCTGATTATAAATCACACTGGGTTAAAATTGCATTTTTAACATGCCATTTTTATGTATCTAATATTATTTTGGGGGTCTCCAACAATAGGTTTACATGCATGCAAGTCAAAAAATGCTTTAGTTTTCTCAAAATATGCATTTAAAGGGGTGGCTGATTATGATTTCACTTTTTGAACTTTAGATAGTGTGTAATATTGCTGTTAGAGCATAAACAATGTCTGCAAAGTTACGACGCTCCGCTGGTAGGCACTACAACGAGCTTCTTCCTGGGCTTGTAAACCCCGCCCCCGGGAACACGCAACTACCCGTAATGGTAAGGGGGCGTGATGTTTCCAGACAACGTGCACTAGGCGGTTATCAGTGGTGGACGAAGTACACAAATCAAGTACTTGAGTAAAAGTACAGATACATATAATAAAATATTACTCCAGTAAAAGTAAAAGTACTCCTTTTTCAATTTTACTCGATTGAAAGTACAAAAGTACTCGATTTTTTTAATGTACTTAAGTAAAAAAAGTACTGATAGATAGATTTATTTTGCAATTTTATATAGGCTACTTAATTAAATTTTATATTAGCACATATTTTTTATAATCCTACTTTTATAATACCTGGGATTTTCCCAAAATAACCACTATATGGAGTCAAGATAGTGAAGTAAAAAGTACGATCTTATGCTTTGGAATGTAGTGAAGTAAAAGTTACTCAAAATAAAACTATTCAGTAAAGTACAGATACTTGAAAAATGTACTTAAGTACAGTAACGAATTAAAACTACTCCATTACTGTCCACCACTGGTGGTTATAGAATCACAAACACACTGAGCCTGCTAACCAATCAGAGCCCATTGCGTAATTCTGAGGGAGGGGCTTCAGAGAACCAGGAACTCAACAGACCATTTTGACGAGAATGGAAACAGTGGTGTAGAATAAAGGTAAAATATTTTTTTTAAAGCGAAGCATGAACACGTTACACTGCACCCCATAAACACAATCAAGCTTTCGAAAAAAGCTGGTCAACCACCCCTTTAATATCACCTTATTTTCCAACAATTCTCAAACGATTTGTTCGTCATCAGACACAAATCTAAAATATGTGCATTTTGTGCATGTTTTGTATGCTTGATGTAAATTGCATAGGTCACTTTGGAATATAAATTGCAGCACATTTCAGATTATATTAAAACCATGACGTATATTCCTGAAAATATGGTATTATATGCATATATTCATTGTTGCTCCAACCATTTTACTGGTTCAAAAAATGACATTTTGTTAGTCTGAATCAAGGTGAAAACGTAAAAAATCCATAACCAAGACTCCCGTTTAATTTCATCACTGATCAAATAATACAGTGTGATTGCATAACAGGCTTTCTAAGTCTCTTCAAGAGCACCCGCCTTCCATGATAAACCAAAATTAAGTAATTATACCTTTCTGATCCAACAGAATAAGTAGCCTGTGCGTCTCCGACACGCACACGCCTGAGCGAACAGGGTGCATTTCATCGTGATTTATGTACATAACAAAATGTAGCTTAGCGACAGGTGATGTCATTATGGGATGTCCAAGGAAGTGAAGTTACAAGACGAGGTCAGCATCCATTTCCTGAACTGAACTTTCTCCGTTCTCACAGTGACCGAAAAAGTACATTGGTACACCCATGTTTTTAAAGAGTATTGTTATCTTTGCTGAGTTACGCAACTGAACTAAAATAGCCAGATTTACCATTTCCAGAAATATGCCTGTTTGGTTGATGCTTTTGCAGTGCAGGACATGTTTTTAGTTCATTTATCATGACTCGTATATTCCATTCTTGAGTGAACTACAAATAACGTTATTAAAAATAATATATTTTTTCTTTATTTTCATGAGCAAATTTGTACTGTTTGTTCTTTTACCTTTTTGATCATTCATATCTGACTGATTTTATGAATTTTAAATGCTATATGTTCTGTCGCAGAGTCAGATGCACGTTTGGAGGATCAGATGGACTATCAGAAGACAATGTGGCCTGATATCATGGACAAAAAAGATGCACCAGTGGTTAGTACTAAACATATAGTGTTTATAGACTTTATATTTAATTTACTACACTTGACTTATGAAATATGCTGTGGGCGTATGTTGTGACATTAATGACATCCCATGATAGTTAGGTAGCAAAAATACAGTCGTTTTTTACTGTTTTTGTCACTTCTTTGTTTTATGTTGATAGATGATTTTGACTGTTAGGGTTCACTTTTTTTCAGAATCACATTACACGTTTGTTTAAAAAGTCATTAAGTTGATGCTTGGCAAACCCAACAGGACGCTTGTGATTTCAAACCTTTTTTAACCAAAATAGCTTCATGCTTTTTTGTCATTATCTCTGTCAGTGAGATCCTAACATTCATCAGTATTTACAGTTGCTTTGAAGTAAATAATTTTGAGCACCGAGCTCCAAATGGGGGCGATATTTCCCTGAAAACATAACATAACATCCTGTTACTCAGCAGCATTTTGGTTGGGTCCTCATGGTGTCGGGCCCATGTATAACCAATAACAGATGTGTCCTCCCTTTCATCTAGTTATGAAAAGATCTGAGAATTATTATAAACATCTGAATATCCAGAAGTAATATCTTTGGATATGTGGAGCCAGTGCTACAATAAAGAACAGAAATGCACTACCGTTCAAAAGTTTGGGGTCTGTTAAATGTTTTTTTTTTTTCTGATCTTATTCATCAAGAATGCATTAAATTGATCAAAAGTGATGGTAAAGACATTTATAATGTTAAAAAAGATTTCTAGTTCAAATAAATGAAAAACAAAAATCACAAAAATTAAGTATTTACACAAAAATGTTAAGCAGCACAACTGTTTTCAACACTGATAATAATAGGAAATGTTTCTGGAGCAGCAAATCAGAATATTAGAATGATTTCTGAAGGATCATGTGACACTGAAGACTGGAGGAATGATGCTGAAAATTCAGCTTTGCATCAGAGGAATAAATTACAGTTTAAAATATATTCAAATAGAAAATGGCTATTTTAAATTGTAATAATATTTCACAATATTACTGATCTCTCCCACCTTCAGTACCACGACTGAGGTGCCCTTGAGCAAGGCACCGAACCCCCAACTGCTCCCCGGGCGCCGCAGCAAAAAATGGCTGCCCACTGCTCCGGGTGTGTGCTCACGGTGTGTGTGTGTTCACTGCTGTGTGTGTGCACTTTGGATGGGATAAATGCAGAGCACTAATTCCGAGTATGGGTCACCATACTTGGCCACATGTCACTTCACTCACTTTTATTTAACTGTATTTTTTGATCAAATAAATGCAGCCTTGGTGTGAACACTTTTGAACGGTACCGTATATGCTCTCTGTCAGATGATATTACTTTCGGTTTCAGTTTTGTTGGTTTACTCTAAAGTGCTGCACACACAATGTGATTGTGCTCTTGTTATTCAAGGTAAAAGAGTTGCTTTTGTGTCTGGGTTCACAGAAACACTAGATGTGGTGGCGTTGAGGCGTGAAGTCCAGAAGCAATGTGGATTTGTTTATTTTGTAAGAGTTCAAATCAGAGGACTGGAGATAGCTGATAGAGATGCATACAGTGAAGCAATTGACAAAATGCAGTTAATTGACTTTGTGGGGCACAGTGTATCAGGTTGCATAATGATTATTCACAGCACAGTGTTTTGAGCTGTAGTTTGGCTAGATCAGCCGTTCTCCTGTTGGACATTGACAGTTTAATGACGTGACCTCTGGGCCAGCTGTTCATCCACAGGCTTCTTTACAACCGTTTGGGGGAATGGGGGGCTGGGGTTACCCTTTTATGTGAACCACAAGTGCTGAAGGCCTTTTCCTGCAAATTATAACCAGCCCCATCCTGACAACACACGAAGCCATGGTTTTTTGCTTATTTCACCTCTGGAGATCATGAGCAGATGGAAGAAATCACTAGTAAGTGTTGCTCAGCCTCGGTTCCTCTGGGTAGAGGGTGTGTTTGGGATTGTGTGTATACATGGTGCGCTAAACACTGAAAAGCTTTGACAACGCTTCAATGGTGGTGTCCATCAGAAAGGCATCAGGGCTGTTATCAGTGTATCCCACCGGACAGGCTTTCCTGCAGGGACTCAACTCCGAGAAGGAAGGAGAACTGAGACGCAGCGAAAGAAAAGCGACTCTGTGGGTCGTTCTTGTTCTGCAGTACTTTTTCAACTTTGTAAAAATGCTAATTAGGAAGTATTTCTATAAAAGGCTAGCAGACTCTCAGAAATATGCTCCGGTCAAGCTAAGATGCTTTAATTAGAACTTGATTATTTACACAATGGCACGACGTTTAACAGGAAAAAAAAATAATAATAAAATAGCTAAAGTTAGCCGTTGCTGTGTGAGAGTTAACTTACCTGTGTCAACTTGTTAATTTAGATATTTATTGTGAATATTTTAGACTGAAGTAAGCCAACTAATACAACAGAATTCCTAATTCTAATATTTATTAGGTAATAGCATTGCTGTTGTTTCCCTCCCAAATGATGTCACTTCCTGGAGGATGATGTAATCAATGACCTGGCTTTTGTTAATTCAGGGATGTTACACAACACTAAGAGCATGGGAATATTGATATTAAAGACATAGATAAAAACCTATAAACAATGTGTTTTTTTTTCTTTTTAATATACTATTATAGTATTTAATTATATTTTGAATGTTTTTTTTCATATATATTTTCTGTTTTCATTGTAATTTTAATTTAAATATAAGTGATTTTGTTATTTTATTAGTTATTAGTTTTATTTCTATTTAGTTTTTATTCATTTTTATTTCATTTTTAGTTTGAGCTAATTTAGTACTTCAACTTAAACTAAATGAAAATTAGAAATGTTGCCATGGCAATTAACTGAATTTTTTTTTTTTTGTTTCATATTTTATTTCAGTTAATGTTTATTATTTCAATCAACGTAAAACATTTTTTTAATGCTTTTAGTTTTATTAATGCTTTCAGTGTTGTTATTGTTAACTATACATTTTAATTTAAATAATCTCAGAAAACCATTTTTTTTAAACATTTTGATTGGAGAAAGAAAATAAAAAAATTGCAAACTATGGAAATTTTCTAAGACAATTTTTCATGTTAGTAAGTGCAGCATGACAAATTTTCTGCTCATACCAAAGTAAAGAAATGATTTTAAATTCATGTGCACTTAAACGTGAACCAAATAATATGATTTGCATGTGTAAAAATTATGAATATAATATTTTGTCCAATATTAAGACACTTTGGACTATTAAAAGGTACTTCATAGCATAAATTACCCATGTGCAGAGAAAGAGTCAACAGGGTGGGATGGGGTAGCAGGCGCAGCGAAAGAGCAAAAGAGACTGTTTGCATATGTGTGTGTGTGTGAGAGAGAGACGAGGGGAGTGGGGGATGAGCGAGGGAAAGGGGCCGGTCCTTCACACAGATGTGAAAGATTAGGAGCGTCTCATTTTTCCAAACGCTTGAGCCGTGGAGATTGTGCCTGTCAGGACCTCATGTGGGAAAAAAGCTTTGTTCAGTGTCACAGTTTCTTCGTACGCATGTTGGAAAGATGTACGAGCGATACAAGCGGAGGTATAGTTTGTGTGCCAAAGGAGAGAGAACTGTGGATGTAGTTTTAATCAAGGTAAGAAGATCTGAAATGTGGACATTCGGTGCTGTTGCATTGTGACTATATATAATATAAATTGTAGGTTTTAAACTAGGTCCACAGCACAAAGCTTGTACAGCAATGGATTTTTGTAACTTTTCTAAATCATTATAAAACATTAAATATCTATTTTTGTTGAGTAGGTCAGTAGTAATTTTTGTATTTTGTTAACAGCATAAAATAAGTTTTAATCATATATTTATATATGTCTGTTTTTTTTAGTAGCATAACATAGCAAAAAATATATAAGTGTGTGTATGTATGAGTGTGTATGTATATATGTAACTATATGTACTAACTATATGTATAATATGTAATATATATATATATATATATATATATATATATATACACACA